CTTCTGTTGTCATTGATTTAATGTTCGGCCGGGTTTTGCTGTGTTTCTCTGAGTTCCTAGGTTAAAAAACCCGGACAGCTTGCTTTGAATATCCATTACAGGGGAGCCATATTCCTAGTGGAAGTAGAATAATAAATAACATTTGATGTAACTAACACAGGAGCCAAAGACAACTTTCAGTTTAAGCATAAAATGTCTGCAGGACCCAAACGATCAATCAAGGCATCTGCATGTTAACATTAAATTCTCTTCATTAAAGCCACTTCACTGCGATCATGTTTAGCTTTTCTGTGAAGAAACAGAGTCAACAGTTTTGAAAAGTAAAAAACAAAAAACAAAAAAACAACCAACCTAGAAACTGAGTGAACTAAAGCCAAACTTGATGTCAGTGCCAGTGGGACACTTTAATGTCAGACTACATTTGGCATGGTTTGTGCTTTTCAAAGAAACAATCAATGTAAAATGAAATAGGTCTGTTTTGGCATTTCTCACAACTGATTGAGTTTACTCCTTTTCTTTTGGTTCCTTGGTGCTGTTCGAACTGCCCAGCTTTTTCAGGCCTCTCCTCTGAGCCAGGCTGGAGGAGTGCACAGGTTCCAGGACTGGAGCTGGAGCGCAGCGTTTCAGAGCAGTGTAGGTGGCCGACAGCGCCCCCTGGGGGAGTACAAACAAAACTGCATTGGTGTAATCTGCAAACTGAGAATGAGAGATCACCAGCGCCACCTAATGGATTTAAGGGAGAATATTACACAACAAAAATTTAAAACACTAAAGTTTAACTAAAAATTGCAAAAACGCAACAAGTGATATAGAAAGTCAAAACTCATTTAGATGTACTTAGATCAGCAGAATCTCAATACTTGGGTACAAACAAGTTGTATAAAATAATATACTGTTTAAATACTGGCTATTTAAAGGTGTATAGTACTAAGTGCATTTGTTACCGTATTTAGGTAATTTGTTAAGGATTTTACCAAGTTTTTTTTCTTTTAACATAATTTTTACTTATGTTTCGTTACATTTAAAAACAAAAAAATGTTTACTTCTTTATTTTAAAATGTAACATCTAGCTACAAATTTACATATGACCAGAACTCATGAAAGGAGTTGTTTATTTATATATTACTAAATTTTACAAGTTATGTCAAGTGGTTCCACTAAACTGACTTGACAATTCCTTAAAAAGAAAATGTGTAAATTGCTCAGTTTACTCAGTTCAGTTTAGTGGAACCAGTTTGGTTAAGTAAACTCAACACTTCATTTCTTAAAGTGTGTGTAAAAGTACTGTTAGTTATTTTTAACTAGATAATACAGGCAATAATCCTGACTCTGTCTAAATATTAGGAGGGAATATGTTTTTTATTTGCTAGCTGTTTTATACTGATATAATTTGTTTGAATGCACACACTAACAAGATATGAAGACAGATTTATTTAGATGTAGGATGGAATCTTCTGTAAACATGAACTGTGAGTCTGACCTTAACGATGACCGCATCCTGTCTGCTGAGGCTCCTGTCAGACAGCTGCTCTCTCTCTACAATCCAGGGGTGTCGAAGAACCTAAGAGCAGTGCAATAAATCCAATATAAATCCAAGTTTATTCCCCCAACAACAATCTTTATAGGTGAAATTGTAAATTACAAACAATAAACAAAAGTAACTTTTTTCTTAACACTGTGATAGTGAATGTTTGTTTTTTAGTTTGACATCCAATATTTACATGTAAGCATAACACAATAGGATGGCCTGTGTGTGTTTCTCTCTTTTGTGATCTGTTCAAAATTTATATTCTTTTAAATGCAAATACAAGAGTAAAACAAGTCTACATTTTATTAAATCATAGTAACTTAAATTATGGAAACTCACACATTTAGAAGTTTATACCTTTTTTACCTGCTTCTAGTAATCTTGAAATATGATCCTCGCACAAGGCTACTATTATATACATCACTGTATATAAATAATTAATATTATTACATTTGTCTGAAAGGAAAGTGTTTTATTTATTCACATTTGTTCTGTTTGTGAAACACTTTGTCACCCGGAAAAGTAAACATACAGATGAAACATTTTCATCACAAAAAGTAAAAATTACCTGTGGGGCAGTAAGACGCTGGTGAGGATCCACGTGGAGCATCTTTGTCACAATGTCCTGAAAAACCCAATCAAACAGCATCAGGATCATGATGTTAGTGACACAGCAGTTTAATGTCAGTCAGAAAATGTAACGGAGTAACCTTGGCAGCGTCTGACACCAAGTCCCAGTTCCCTCCGGTGATTATTACTTTCCCACTTCCGATCTGAGCCAGGATCTCCTCTGCTGTGTCGTTAGGACTGCTGGCAAAGGGGCTGAAACTGCACAACAACAAATTAAAGGTGAGACAACAAGTAAAAATATGTGTTGTAAATCACAGCCTCATGTTACTTCTTCTTGTATGCATTGTTGCTAGGGAAGCTATTTAGAAGACTGCAGTTGTGTGTTGGTGTACACAATGATGTTTTATAGTTTAATTACTGACAACAGAAGCCTTCCGTGCTAGGTTAAAATAGCTGCTGGTTTAATGTGCACTCAAACTTTCAACTGACCCAGCGATCATTGTGTAGAGCAGGATTCCCAGGCTCCAGATGTCACAGGCTGCATCATAACCCTGTTTTCTTAAAACCTAGACACGCAAACAAATGTTCCCATTTAATTATGCTTGTTTTCCCTATTATTTGAGTGAGTGTTGGTGAAACAATAACGCAAGGGATGAATTTACCTCCGGAGCCATGAATGTGGCGGTATAACACGGCGTCATCAGCAAGCCATTTTCAGCCCGGAGCTGTTTGGCGAAACCAAAGTCACAGATCCTGATGGATTCTGGGAGTCCGCTGTCATCAGCGTAGCGAATGTTGCTGGGCTTCAGGTCTCGATGCACAACCTGGAAAACACAGTGTGAAGGTTTCAAATGTTAAAAATGGTTGCTGAAGTTACATGGTTTGAGTATTTTATTGGGGAACTTTATTGTTTACAGATTTTTCTTTTCTTTCCATTTTTTTCTCCATTTGTCTTACCCCCTGAGAGTGTAAATATTCTACTGTTTTGGTCAGTGTGCAGATGATGTCTGATGCATCTTGTTCTGTGAAATTTGGCTGCGTCAGAACTCTGTCGAGCAGCTCGTTTCCTCTCGGGATATCAAAGACTAAGAAAACACTCTGGCCATCATCAAACACCTTCAGGCAAAAAGAAAAGACACTTTACTTTTTAAACGACCCTTCTCCCACACTGGTAGTTTATCTTGTACAGTACGACAGTCTGTGTGTTATACTTACATCTCTCAGGGTAATTATATTCGAATGCTGCCCATATCTTAGCAGAATCTCAATCTCTTCTGATGGATCTTTCCGTGTTCTGTCAATAATCTGTTAAAAATGCAGAAACACCCAGAACAAGTTGTAAATGACACCAACACTGAATGCAAACACATCTCACCCAGTGATCCTTACTATGCACAAACATGCAGGAATGTGAGGGGTTTTGTAAAAGTAATATTTTGCACAGGCTAAATATCACAAAGACAATCATCTTTATTATTTTAGAGGAGAAAAATCTAAAGTTTAGAATTTATCCATACCTTCACTGAATATTCCACAGCTGTAACTCTGTGGAGACATCTTTTGCGAACAAAAGCTCCGGTCTGTTCCACTTCTTCTTTCAGCTCGTACACATCTTTGAAGGCCACGTCGCCACGAATATGCTGTCAGACAACACACTTAATCAGACCTCTGAAGAAAAGATTTTCATTTTATACAGCATCTAAATGGGTAAACAGCTTTGCCAGAACACAACAGCTGACAGTAATTTATGAGAAATAACATTTAGACCATCAAATTTTATTTAACTGGGTCCTTTTCTTCATTAAGATGTGATTAATCTAAATATTTATAAGCAAAACAATTGACCAAGTTTAGAAAAATAACACTAGATTCTCTTTTTTTTTCTTTTGGAAAGTACAAACCTGTGCWATAGGGTTGATGTTCACCTCCTGTCGAGAAGGCGCCACCGGGGCAACGCTGGCCTCCTGATTAGTTTGATTAGTTGCCACAAAGCTGAAACCTCGAAACAGCTGGTGTGTGTTCGCACTCGGCGGGATGCCGGGAGAATCTGGATGTGGAGAGGCACAAGGACAAGCACACGCTCTGAGCAAGATTTAAAAGGTGCAGTAAATTCAAACATGTTTTTTTCACTTCTTTACCAAATCCTACATGTTCATTTTCATGCTTTGTATTCACGTTACCTGTCGGTGTTCTGGAAGTGAACTCAGGGTCAAAATGAAAAGTGTCTTCAGGTCTTCCAACAGTCGGCTTGAACGGAGGCCTCATCTCTTTTTTGTACAACTTCTATGGAAAAAAAAAAAACAATAATACCAACACTATTACATCAGCTTACCACAAATTTAACATACAACCTGTACAGGACAAGAACTCATAATTACTGATGAATGACATGAAAAAAAAATCATGTTAGCTTTGATGCAATATAGGACATTTCTAAATGATCACAAAACACTGATAATGTTTCAAAACATGTTTTGTCACAACACTGATTGTCCAACAGTACCGTAAACTAAAATTTAACTAAATACCAAAATGTACAGATTTAGCAGGAAAAAAACTACCCATCACTGAAACTTAATTGTAACTAAATAAAGTTTGGCAAAATGAAGAATGGTGCAAAACGACGTTTTTGAAAGCAGCTTAAGACCATTGTTATGGCAGAGTATGACCTGCAGGTGTCACCATGGCCACATCAGTTTGCCAGAAATAGTGTTGAAATAAAAAAAAAAAACACTGACACAAGTCACAGATGTTAATAAAATGATCAAAGCTGTCTTTAGTATGGCTTTGCAATCAGTAGTGCACTCTGCAGTCTGCATATTTTATCAGTGTTATGGCAGCAATCTCTTAAAACTAATAAGCATGTAAAACAGGCTGACAGAAAAAGAAAACCCGAGAAGAGTCACAATAAAAAGTCTCTTGGCGATAATTCAAACACTAATCAAACATCATTAGAAAGTGGAGAAATGTGTCAGACAAGAAGCGAAGAATCAGTGAGGTAGTGGAAATGGTGAGGAAAAAGATTAGTGTGCAGGGAAAAGTGGGAAAACAGTGGATTCCAATGGAAACTGGAACAAACAGTTCCACAACACGTTGGAACATTTGAAACAAGACAGAATATGTTACAGAAAATGTTTCTTTTCTGAAATACAAATCTGAAATATACAGAAGATGATTACAACCAAAAAAGGCAAGTAATCTTTTTTTTTGCATTTTTTTTCTTCAAAAAACTAAAACCACATCATGTGATTCTGTCAAGTCAGCCAACATTTCTGAACTGAGATTCTTTAAATATTTTTAGAGTTAACATTAACATTTTTTTAACTCATTTACTTTGTGCTTTGAATCTCCCAGAAATACTCGTATAAATGTGTAAAACACAATTTAGCTATACTAACACACAGTAGATAGTAAAGAATAATGGATGAACCTAAAATTTATATATTTATTCCTTTATTTGCTGAAGCAATCATTCAATGCTTAAAACCTAAAAGTTTTTCCAGTACTTTTCCCTTTTGATTGAAATTATCACTCATTCTCATAATTTCACACACAGTACTTTTATTACTAAGACAAATATTATATCCGTTGTCTTTAAAATAAAAAAGAAGCTTTTTTGTGAATGGATGCACAAAACTGACCACTAAAATAATTTGTATTGTTCATTATTATCATGTTATTTTAAAAGTTCAGTAATTAATCCATGTTTCCCTCCTTTCTATATTATTAAAAAACATTGTTTTAATACAGTTTACAACTTTTTGGTGAAGAAAGCAGTTTTTTTTGCTTCTATTAAAATGATAATGCAAAGGAAAACTGAAAGTGACTTGTATATACATGTTTAAGGTTTAGTTACTGCTTTGATTTTTATGAATGAAAGATGACTGATGTCGAGTAGTTTTCGCGTCTCAGCTGGGTTCTCGGTGAAACAGTTCCGTTGCTTGGATGTTATTCAAACGCAACCAAGAAGTTGCAAGATTTCCAAGAAACAAAGTGAGTCTCAGAACTTAAAGAGACTACTTAAAGAGAAACTCTGGACAAGAGGGATTACAGAGCAGAGAATAATCCTTTTCAAGCAGCACACATCAAAGCACTGGATGTAAGGTTAGATGATGATAGCTCATGCAATTTCTAGATAGAATTTTTGGTTTTGAGCAAACTCTTTGATTGRGAGGTGTTTAGAGATAAAAGCACATTTTAAAGGAAATAATATTTAATTTATGACTGCTGCCTATCCATAAGAAACCTACAGGAGTGTAATGAAAGACATTCTGTGATTTGAATATGTTGAAGTAAAGATTTAAAATCCATATATCTCAAAATTGCATCACAGGAGTGCAGTTTTATTTGTTAAATCATAAGAAAAAAACATTTAAGATTTTATGAAAAAAGGAGCATTTTTCTTTATTGACTTTTGATGAAAAAAATAAAAGCTACACGAAGATTACTAAATTGTTGCTAGTAGAATGGCACGTTAAGTATTTTTGCACCTTTATGGTAACAAAATACAAAGTATCTGCATATAACAGAGCCTAGCTCTGATCTAGTCTTGATCAGGGTTCAAAACATGTTTATTTTTGATGAGTTTGCCAACGTGTCACCATTTCAATATCCAGTCAGCATSAGATTTATCATTAGAAAGTGTGTTATCTAAGTTAATATGTTGTATATTAATGAAATTGCACTTACATCCCAGTCTATAGATGCAAAAAAGCGATGCCTTTTAATTTCCTCGACTCCGTCTGGTCCGGCACCTGTCAGTCACACAGATAAAAGATAAAGATGAAAGCGATTCCATGAATCAAGAATCACACAGGCAGACACAAAAATCCTTTAAGGTGCAATGTGTATAATTACATTACAGATTGCAGCTGATGAAATATCGCCCAACCTCACAACACTTAAGTTTCACAATAACTTAGATTAATATAAAAAGTCAGCTGTCATCTTTAGCCCATGCATGGTTTATGTTTAAACTAAGACTTTTTTGGACACAAAAGACTCTTTTATAGCAATAAAAACCTACAAATGATCAAACTTCCAATATTCAACACAGCTACAACCATAATAATAGTGTTTTATTGGACATCTGTCAACACACTGTCCTTATTTAACAGCATAMATAAGTAAAGTGAAGCAGACAATCATGAATATAGTCATTTAAGTTTCAGAAACAGTTTTGACAAACCCACACAGATGGCCAAAAGTTCTCAATCATGTACAAATTATGCAATTTTGAAGTTATTCATCTGGTATGCTGGAACCAATGAATTTCTAATAGGCGGTCATTTTTCAGCTCTGCTCAGTTATTACAACTTTTTACACAGTGGTTGAGACATACGTATTACAGGGAGAAATGTACAGACATAAGGACTAATCTTGGTTTTGAACAAAAGGATTATGTCATTCCTTACATGACTTGAAAACACAAAACTTGAAACAGCTCATGTTAAAATAATCTTCAGTTTCTTAGTGAAAAAAAATTGGAGCTCTAAAAAAATAAATGCCAGATTTTAGAAAGAAAAATATGTCTCCAAGTTTTTTTTAATCCTCTGCCATTGTTTTGTCTCTCTGAGCTAAGACTCGCCTCAACAATTAGTAACACAAAACCACAGGAACTACATAATACAGCCAATATTCTAAACAAAACAAATATTTATTAACAWACAAGTTATTCCATATAGCATACCTAGACGGTTAGCAGGATTCCTCTTGAAGAGCGCTCTTAATAAACTCTGGACTTCAGGGCTGAGGAACTGTGGCATTCCAAGCTTCGCCCTGCAGACAGGATGAGGATACAGTTTCAAACAAGTGCTTAACAACAACAGCTCAATTTTTCTATTTATTTAAGTACTTTTAGATATGATGTAAAAATAGCATTGAAAATGAAGTGTAAATAGAGGGAAAGAGGATTTGTTTTCAGAAAATGTAAGGACCAAAAATACCACAACCAAATAGCCCCAAAAAACCCAGCTGACAAATGCACAGAAGAAACAAATTCTTCACTCAGATCATAAAATGTTATTAATTAAGAAAGAAATGGTTTCAAAAGGACAGTTACAGCATGTTAGCGGTGGAGTCAGTCTTACTTTAGAATAAGAGCCATTGTTTCTTTCCGATCTTTTCCTTGGAACGGTAACGATCCCGTCAACATTTCAAACTGGAGGATAGAAAAAAAAAAACACCTCTATGTCAGCCAACAAATGAAAAATGGAACAAAATTGATCTTCATTTGGTTATTGACTTTCTAAAAGCTAACACAACACAAAATAGCTACACATGACCAGTGAAAGAACTCAGGCAGATTAAATATAACAAAATTATAAAGTAACAGTGGTGTCAGGATTCTGAGTTCTTTTAGTTGTTGTTTGTTCTTTAGATATTTATTTAGTTCATTTTGTTATGTTTCTTAGTCATGTTGTGTTTTTATTTATTATTTCACGACTTTTTGTATTTAATTTAATTTCCTCTGTACCACCAGTTCATTTCTCCTAGGTGGGTTTTCTGCTCCTCAGTCCTGCCCCTCCCACTCACACCTGTTCCCTGTGTTCATTAGTCTCACCTATCTTCTCTTAYCTCGCCAGCCCCTCCCTTCTTAATGCTCATTCTCCCAGTTCATCTTCAGCCTAGCACTGTGCTTCATGCTCTGTCTGGTTCTCCTCCATGTATTATTTGTTATGGTTAAATCTTTTTATTTTATTTTAGCTCCTCATGTTGATGAGCATTCTTAGGTCCAGCTCTTCAGAAGCAACCATTTGTCTTTGTCTTTTGTAAATTTCAGAGTGACATTGAAATGAAAATGTTTCAGATTTTATAATCATTCATGTCTTGCAGTTACAATCAATGATGAAGATTTAGAGGTGAAAGGATGATTTAGTTGTATGTTTTATTTGTATCAAATGGGTTTTCAAACTAGGTGGCTTCATTGAGGGAGATTTAAAAAAAATCAAGTCATTTTTTTATTCCTTGTGAATAAACGGCAAAACCATAATAAGAACCAGGATATGAATCTCATATCCACCRTGTGTAAAATCACTAGAATTGTTTAGTTTGTTTGCTTGTTTGTCATACAAGCAAACAGTGRCATTTCCCCTCTGGTGAAACTGCCAGATGTCAGTTAATGTTAACCTCATTTTCCGTATTAGTAAAATAAGCCACCAGGCTAACGAAACAAGCTGACTTTAGGAGATGCATGATTACTGAAAGCAAATCATCTTAATCTGGCCGATAATTAAAAGGCTTTACTGCCAAGAAAAAAAAATCTGAACACTGGCTCTTCATTATAAACTCAAGTCTTACTTTGTAAGATGCCTAAAATTCAATACTATCAAACCCATAAGAAACAAACTGGTAATCAGTGGGGATAAACGTGTGAGGATTGTCAGTGTAAAATATTTGTTTTTATGGTTTTTGAGTCCTCACCATGAGAACACCAAACGACCACCAGTCTGCACTCTGAGTGTGACCTCTTCTGTTCACAACCTCAGGAGCCATGTACTCAATCGTTCCACAGAAAGAATAAGCTCTTTTGTCGTGATCAATGGCTTCCTTGCTAAGACCAAAATCTGAACAAAAACACAAAGAAAGTTAAAACCTTAAAACAGAAATACAAAAATACTGATTTGCCTTGTTGAATGCACTGACCAGTGATCTTTATGTGCCCTTCTTCATCCAGAAGAATACTGATGGGACAAAGCAAATGCAAAAAAAATCTCATTTGAGCACAATATTCTGATATTACATTCAGAAAAGATTTGTTTTAGTTTTTTTTTTTTTTGGCTATACTTTTCAGGTTTAAGGTCTCTGTAGATGATCCCAAGACTGTGAAGGTGGTCCAAGGCGAGGGCCAACTCTGCAAGGTAAAACTTCACATCCTCTTCTGTAAACATTACCTACACAAGTAAAGAGGTGGATGTATTTCAAGTCAATTCATGCATTAGAAATGTGTTTTTTTTGCTCTTAAATTTTATATCATCCTCTAAAACACAAACTCCAACTAGCAGGCTTGCATCAACTGTTCATCATAAAGAGTCACAAAAGATAATGCATTATTATAAAAGTTAATAGACTTAGGAATCCAGCAATTCTTTTCATTTCATTATTTTAAGAGAAACAGAGAGTATTGTGTAGTGAGCCTACCTCCTTTGACAGACGAGTGAAAAGGTCTCCTCCTCTGAGGAAGTCCAGGATCAGATAGAGCTTCCCTTCTGTCTGAAAGGCTAGACACACAGAGAAAGATATAACAGGGCAGCAATAAATAGCAAGGTCTTCTTGCTTTATTGAAGGATGTATTCTCGAGATAAAAGAGGTACAGTGTGCATGATGTGCAAGTGTGTACAACAGTGAGATAAAATCAGTATAGGAAGAATAGAAAACAACTTTTTCCTCATTTTGAACATATATGCTAATCGAAATCCACATTCTGAGGAATAGAACTCGAAGTTAGTACCTAAAGAGTTTATTAAAGTCTTTCGGCTGCCGACTGTGGACAGTTAGGTCAGGTGCAAACAAACAGAAATATGCATTCATATTGTTTGTCTCAGATTTATTAGGGTTGGGGTGTCAAACTCTGTCCCACAAGGGGGCCAAATTTCAAAACGTGGTCCAAGCCAAGGGCCAGTCTCTGTCAATATTTATTGAAAAAAATCATGGTTACCTCCGCCAAGGGAGGAGGTAAATTTTTTCGGTCGCGTATGTCTGTCATTCTGTCTGTCTGTCTGTGGACAAAATTACACAAAAACTTGTGGACAGATTGTCATGACATTTTTACCACATGTGGGTATTGGCCAAAGTAACACACCATTAAATTTTGATGATGTTCCGGATCACGATGCGGATACAGGAATTTTTCTTTTAATTCAAGCGAATCAGTCCGGCAACGCAAAGTGTGATTACGTCAGACACATGCCTGTAAGATACAGGAAGTACAAGTTGCAAACTCGCTGGGACTACACCTCCCAGGATGTCTACTGTTGGGATTATTCTGTTATCAACTAGTATTGGYGATGTYACATGCTGTCTGGAGACGTAGAAACAGAAATGCGATTCTCTTCATGTTACGGTAATAACAGAAGACACCGACAGCGGGGGGAGGGTCCTGCTGCAACCGAGCCGAAGCTGGTACCAGTGTTACACTGGACCGGTACTGGACAGCGGGAACAGCTGATCAACCATGTGAAGTACCCCCTCCACAAAAGAACTTTTTGGTGTGATTAGTCAGAAGTTCGTGGGAGTGTTTGTTTGTGCTGAAAGTGCTCAGATGCTGTATTTTGCTTTAACCACTTGCTTAAAAAAAAGGTGTCACTTCCAGAGCCGACTGTACCAGGAAGCAGTTTATAAAGAGAGTCAAATTGTTAAAAACTCATAAAAGGGGATAAAACAGGCGTTTTACACAGTGGACTCTGACTGATAAAAACTTAGGAGCTTAATCTGGGACCAGTTTGTGGATGAATAACATCGGATGACGAGTCTCAGTGATGAGTCTCTGACCTTTTTTGTTTTTTTTGCATTGGACTCCACCGGGAAGAAATCCCATTCATACTGTTTGCTTAAGTCAGAACTTATTCGGCAAATGTGTTTCCATTTCTCCTTTAGCGCATTAACTCTATTGCAGGATGGGGGAAATTGGCCTTGGTGGAGGTTTGCACTCTCCGAGTGCTTCTAGTTTTAAATGTTATGTAACAACAATCAGTCTTATAGAATTACAAATGACCTTTTCCAAATGTAGCATTTAGAATATACAGTACCTAATGGATAAAAACTAAAGATTAAATTTAGAAAGACTCATCATTAGTATTTAGTTCTTATGTTTTACTATCTATTCACAACTATTTTTTTTTTACCATTTCTTAGAGATACATTTTATAACAATTAAGTAAAATCAGTTTGAAAAATAAAATACTCACTCCACTTATTTGACTTTAAAAATAGAAAAGAATACAGAATTCAAGTTGACGATTTTCATGAAAAGACTAAACACAAAAAAAGAAAAACAATACAACTATTTTACATTTTAAAATTACTTTTGGGGCCAGATAAAATGTTAAAGAGGGCCAGAGTTGGCCCGTAGACCTTGAGTTTAACACATATGTATTATGGTGTACATGTAAATGTATAAAACGTGTTTGTATGAACCAGAACAGGATTCTGTCACAGGTTTAAAATCAATCTGCAAATATGTAACTCTTGCTGTTAAAATAAGTTTTTTTTGTTTGAATCAATCCATATTTATGTTCACTTCCAATAAACATATTTTCAGATGGAAAAGGTATAAAGAGAATCATTTATACTCACCGTAGTGCAGTTTAACTATAAATGGGTGGTTCACTTCAGCTAGAATGTCTCTTTCCATCTTAGACCGAACACGATCCCGAACTGAAAATAAAATAAACAGTGTCRTTTTTAAAATTACACTCAGGTCATATTTAAATGAGCATAAATTGTGAAAGGTGTCTACTCTCGAGAATGGTTGTAAAACCTGGATGAGTCTAAAKGTAAAAAGCTCATTTAAAGAAATAATATGACTGACTTGTTATTTACTTAGAACAAATGTGAATGGAGCTTACAAATCAATTGGGGACCTAATCATAAACAGAACATATAAACAGGTGGAGAATATTAGGACAAATCTTTATGCAGAAGAGACGAAGCTAAAAATCAAAACCAAATTTTATTTCCCGCTTCAGACAGCAGTGACTGAAACTGAACTGAGCCTGTGGTGCTGCTGCAGTTCCGTTGAAATCATGTCAACTGAAATTATTGCAGCATCTGCCTCCCTGTCAGAGTGAAATTGTAATTCTTCCAATTCCAGGGGTGCAGATTAAGAGGATTTCGGCTTGTACAAATACACTAGATTAGAACATGACATCTCAACCTGCTTTTACAGGGCAACGTAGTTTAAAATAGGCACAGTTGACGTAAAACATGTTTATCTGAATCTAGAGTACAAACTAACCTGTTTTAGCTCAAATCTCCTTGAATGTAGGGCAAAGAACATGACAACCACATACCTGATGTTTCTTAATTACAAATCCAACTTTAATCCTGACAAATTACAATTCCATTTTTAAGTCAACTTATTCTTCTAACGAAACAATGTAAAAACAATTTAAAAACAAGTTTTGTTTGTCTCAGTTTCAAGGAATGCATTAGAATCTAGATTTGTTTTAGGAATTATAATAGTTTATCAATAAATCTATTCAAATAATATGTCTTGTATCTGTGTTGATATTAATGTCTGATATTATATTACAAATTTAGCACAAAAAGTAAGGCAATTGTATTTGTTAGATTATTTCTTTGTTGTAACAATGCTTCTTGGCAATACCTCTTGTACTGTAGGAAAGCCTTTTAATTTCCTTTTTAAATGGTGTCACATTTGYAAGGAACATGCATTTGTGGGATGAGCAGAGCTGYGTATGTCRGTTACACASRTGAAAAATTTGCCAAATCTTCTCTGTCAAACAGTCTTTTATTTTGCTGTTACTGACATTTGYTTTGAGCTTCCAGTACCGCAGGTGTTACCAATCAGGTGCCCACTATACAARAGGCATTGTTACAACAAAGAAGCAATCTAAAAAGTGCAAATTTCCTTCGTTTTTATGCTAAGTAYATTTAATTTTCAGCATTTGTTTTACTTGATTTACCTTTGAGAGTGGCCTTCTTCAGGACCTTCATGGCGTACAGCTGCCCTCTGTCCACCCCCCTTATCTTTCTTACCAGGAACACCTAAAAGTCAAAAGCCCATTTTGTGAAACAGGTTTTTTTTTATACATAACTCACTACAGATCACAATGTGTAAATAAAATTCAAAAATGTAAATGATTTATTAAATCTTTTTGTAAAGTATTAGTTGGAACAATCGATTAACTTGTGGGAGAACACCACACTACATTCAACTCTCCTTACAAAAGACATATTATTCAATCCTTTACATCAAGTCACATTTAGGTTACCATGCTGAAGTAACATCACATTCTGGAAAACAAACCAGGTGAGCGCTATCGAGCAACAGCAGCTATAATTTAAATAAAGTCTGTCAAAGTTTCATGTAAGCAGACTTCTCAGGCCACAATGCGTGACTCGGCCTCAATTGTCTTTGCAGCTTTACAAACAGGGTTCACTCACAGATGTCTGCCAGGTTTCTATGTCTGGCCTGCGCAGACCTCTAATCTGTCAGTGTAGCTCTGCTCATTTAAATAAGCTTAGTGATCTATGAAGAGGTTGTCTTGGCAGCTAATCTACAGGTAACTGGAAAAAGAAGGCTTGTCATTACAAGATGACTGGCCGGTAAACTGCAAACACACACACACACAGACACACGTGTGCGCGCACACACAACAGTAACAATTAAATGGACAGTCCTTGCTTTTAATTCAATTGTTATTTTTCAAAGCTTGAGTTATGGTTCAAGAATGGTTTAAACAACCAAAACAACCAATATCATCCAGCCAAATCATTTTTTTTGGAAAAAAGTTATCAAACAACTGGTGACCAAATAAAAATTTCAATTAAACGTTTACTAAAAAACTAACCGTGTATACTCTTTTGGCCATTTGGTGAGATGTCCAAATATTAATAGAGGACAAACGGATGAAAACACAACTCGAGCGTGTTTTCRTGCTAATTAAAGCTTGATTGTCTAGACCACAGACCCCACCCCTCAGGATTCACTGTCCTTTATGTTTTTAATGGTTTCCTGCTCCAACACATCTGATCATATGACTGAACTACCTCCTCAACATGGTTTGCAGCCCTCTGGCWAAAACCTAATATTTTAAATCAGGTGGGATGAAACAGGAAAGCATCTGAAGCATGCAAGACAATGAACCCCAAAACCCAGAGCTGGAGACCCCTGCTTTCAACAAAMCTGACTTCTTAAGGAAATTTTTAGGAATTGATTTATTTTTTTACAGGTATTTAACCAGGTTAATCCCATTGATCTCTTTTGCAAGGGAGATCTGGGCCTGAAGCAACCTTATTGCACATCCTTTTGTGCGGTGCTTATAAATATCAGTGCTTATTTTTGCCTAATCTTGTCAACACTTTGGTTTTATATAGGACTGTCTCTCATTACTTTGATTACATTTTCTTGAAGAATCATTTTTCTCAGCTGTTAATAAAAAAAAGCATCTGCAGGTCTCAGTGATCAAGGTTTCTGTACCTTTCCATAGGAACCTTGTCCCAGAACCTTCAGTAGTTGGAACTGAGAAGGGTCTGCTTTCTCACAGCCCTCCTTAACATGGTGGCTGATGTCAATCTCCTTGAGTATGCTGTCATCCTGATGGAAGGAAAGGAACGGAATGCAGGTATTATTAGGAGATGTGAAAAAATGGAGAAAAAAAAAGAAGATTTAGGTAAGAGAGGTTTAAAATTATATAAATGGTGGGCTGGAAGTGATACCTAACTTTGATTTGAGCACTCAGTCAATTAAGCAAATGATCAATCACCAACTTGAGGCTCAACCTATAGACTAAAAGATAAATCTGTAAAATAACCAGTCAGTCAAAGGTCACTAACTTTCCTTTCCTATGGTTTTAAAATGCCGACAAGACTTGGTAAATCTAAAAATAAAACATAAAATATAAGCTAATATTTTTTCACAATCTTTGGTTATTTTATTAGGTTAACTTAAACTTAGCAAGTTAGACAACAAATTTATTAAAGAAAACATTTACACGTAACAGAAAGATGAACACTCTATACAACCTGAACACTGAAAACTTGAACTGCACTGTGTTGGACTTGATGCAAAGTTGAAACATCATATTAGAAAATGTATAAGTTTATTAGAAAATGTATAAGTCAATACATATTTAGTTCAACTCATTAGTGTGCTGTTTTTTTATTCATACAACCTAAGTAAACACACTTTTCTCTAATCAACCTATTGCATTATTATAGGTAATTAAAGTTTTCCAAAAACAATGGTGTCTTTTTCATCACTGCATGACTGTTTTTCAGCTTATAGAGCAACTTTTGTGGTATCTTTTTTAACAGTGAAACAGGACTGATGTTAACTAAAAGAAGCAGGTTTAAAACTGCAACATCAGCTACTGAGATAATTATGAGTTTGATCTCACCTCCACAGAGGGAGAAGCGAGGRGAAAAGTCTCCCTCATGGAGCATCAAACATCACATTGCATTTCTGTGTATGGAACAGCTGCTAAAACAGGCAAACAAAGGCAGTGTTTGTCTTTCAACAAGATGAACAATCACACAAACTGGTAGATTAGATAGTTTACTCATCAGTAATCATGTCTAGAGCCCAGAAAGGTAGATGCTTTGAAAAGCCTGTTTCCCCTGCTGGTGTGTTTGGGCTATAAATAGAACTCCACTGCTGTGGCTTTCACCTGAATCAGTCTGTCTGGATCCATGTATCCAAAAAAACCTGCCTGTCTGCCTTGTGCTTTCCTGTTTGAGAGTCTGTTGCACCGGATTTTCTGTAACCCGTCTCACACTCTCTCTGCCAAAACTCATCTCCATATGGGCCTGTGGCTTCTGTTGTTTTGGCAGAAAGGGACAGGAGCATGATGCAATCGTGTGCACAGAGACTCTTCATACATACACACGTCAGATGTGACCTCTGTGTGTTTGTTAGAATTTAGGTTGTTATAGTCACACATGGTGGTGTTGTGATGAAGAATCCCATGTGTCTAGCAGATGTAAAAATTGAGACTAACCTCCAGCTGACAGAAACCAGCACTGTTCTTRTTTCGTGCTGCCTTGTTCTTCAGGTAGATAGAAAACCACCTCCGTACTGTAAATTTGCGCGTGCTTGCATCCATGGCCACATGCAGGACCTGAGTATTTATCCCATAATGATCAACATCTCCCTGCAGGGACTCCTCAGGCAGACGCACAGAAATAAGACAGGTGTTGTTTGTGCCTGTTTCCTATTTGTCCCGGAGCTTCTCTGCTGGCCCATCCTCAACGTCTGGCTGTAGTTTCTCCATCGTTCTGTTGCGCGATTCGTCTCAGTCTGCTGCTTTTCAGTGCTGTCTCCTCTCCGTGTCTCCCTACAGCTCAGTTGCAGTGGACTCCAGTAAGCAGGCAGAGCTGTTAATCCACGCAGCCTCGCAGTGGGGATGACTTGCCTGTGGGGCTTCGGGGATTGTCCTGTGTGTGTGTGTGTGTGTGTGTGCTTGCAGCAAGGGCTCGCTGCGTCAGGCTGCAGGGAGAGGTGACGAATAAATCTGTTCCGCTGAATCAGGAGAAGTGTGTGTGTGTGTGTGTGTGTGTGTGTGTGTGTGTGTGTGTGTGTGTGAGCTCCCTCCTCACATATATCTGCATGTGTATGTTCATCTGCTGCCCTCCGCCTCTCCCCTCACCACCACCTTTCTCTCTGCAGAACAAGCAGCAGCAGTCACATTGTGTGCGCCACCGGGCAGGCTCTCTGGACCCCTCCCCAGCTGCCTCTCCTTGCCTTTCCCCAACAACACACAGCAACAGCTGGTGAGGTCACATGATGCAAAACCTGCAACCTCTACCAGGCGTATTTGCTGCATTCAACACAGAAGCAGACAATTATTATTATTTTTTAGATAACTGATGGCAACAAAGAAGTACTATGGCTTTGGATCCAAATTCGGTGCAGTATTGAGGACAGCAATCATAGAGAGGCACAAGGCCAGCAGTCACAGTGAGAGCAGCATGATTTGTTCTGATCACTGAACATGGGTGTGTGTACTCAGATCCGTCACATCAGCAGCTTTTGCAGAGCTGCAGTGTTACATAACCTCAGACAGAGCAGAGGAATGCCAGCGGACATTGATGAAAGCTTGGGGGTTAAAATACTGAAGTAGAGTGTTCGCAGATGACCTGAGTGGTAATATTGTCTCGTTCAAATTCATCAAAGAGGCCAGTTTAAAAATACCACCGATGTGTTCCAATTCATAAACCTGAACTATCCTCAACACAGGAAACTCACGGTGTGGCCTTTTTTATGTGTTTGACAGGATTTGGACCACACTGGGATTTAAAAGGCACAAAGTTTCGGGACATTTTAGCACTATTAAAAAATGTAATCAAATGTGTTCAGTCAATCTGTTGTACTCTGTTGTGGGTGGGGATTCAGGATTATAGACTGATGTCTTTGTCCCAGTAGGATTATGGCTCTGTAAGGAGATCACAACATGAATATGTATATGCACGGACAGGCAGAATGTGAGACAGTGAGACTCGGATATAGTATTGTTAATGTGGTGCATTATAATGCACATCATTTTGTGGCAGATGGCTTTACTTTTGCTACCAAGCTCTGTTTTTGGAGGTTTGATTCACCAACATTAGAAAAGCATTCTGACACACAGCACAGCATTTAAAAAAAACATATGATACAGACTATGAGTCTTTATTGACATTAAAAAATACACTATTAATACAACTATTAATTTTTGCGGTTTCACCAACCAGCAGATTTTTACTTTTTAAAAAACAGCCTCAGCAATTCAGCTAAAGGACAGATCAGTTAATATTGACTAAAGCATTTATACAAGGGGRAAAAAATCATTAAAGAGCTTCTTTGACATCCTATACAATGTACTTTCTAAATATTTCTAGCAGGCTCAACCTGGAAAACATATATATGTATTACAGAACCAATCAGGTACCGGGGGTCGAAATTAACCAACGTAATTAAAATTAAGTTGTAGTTTTTATCTACTGTTCTGCCATTGAGGGGAAGTGATATTTGTGCTTTTGCTGTGGTTTGGCTACAAGTTACTGAACCTGGAAGTGAAATTTGTTAAACGTTACACTTTCAACGAACCCAAACAATGACCTTTGCTTCTTTTCTAAAGGAATGTGGTGAGATAAATCTGAGAACAGGGTTTCATAAACTGAGGGAATAATATTTTTGGAGCTCTCTTTATTGTTTCGACCCATAGCACCTCATGCACTTCTTAGAAYCCAAATGTGTCTTCTGAGCAAAGATCAAACATGTGGTCACCAAGAAACGGATTACAAAGGGCCTATTTCACTCCTGCAGTTGTGGAAACCTACAGGTCTGTAAAGCAGAAGTTAGTGAAAACCTGTCATTAYATCTGCAGTTGTTATTTTCAAATCAAAGTGTCTACAATGAAATAAGCTTGTGCATCAAGTAAAATGAAGTTGCTTAGTAAGATATTGCRAGATTGGGGTGGCAGTGGCAGAGTGGTTAGGGGAGTTGTACTGCAGCCGGAGGGTTACCAGTTCAACCCCCCGTTCCAGCCGTCTCAGTGCTCGGGCAAGTAAACTTCACCCGCCTTGCCTGCTGATAGTGATCAGAGGGTCCCAGTGGCGCCGGTGCATGGCAGCCCCACCTCTGTCAGTGTGCTGCAGGGCAGCTGCAGCTTACCACCATCAGTGTCTGAATGTGTGTTAGCATCAGTGCAGTGTAAAAGCACTTTGGAGTCCAATGACGAAGTCCACTTACCGTTTTACCATAAAAAATAGCTAATTTGACATTTTATAAATTAATTTTCTTCATTTATTTTATTGTATGTAATCTTGTAGTTTAATCTAACCTGGTAATGGAGGTTAGACACACACACACACACACACATGCACATTAAGAAAAAATAATCATGTTCAGACAGCAAAGACAAAATATAATTACATGAAAGTTTAAATGTGACAAAATTTAAAATTTATATTAGAAAAACTAAATGTTGTTAATTATGTCAAGTTTTGAGATGACTTGGATGGGGAATGAATCACAATAGTGTGCATTGCATTGGCAATGCACACTGATTACAATGATTACTTAAAAGAGCAAAATGGTAGCAAAATGAAAGTTAATAAACTAAAACAATCAGAACAGCAGCTAAAAGCTAAATGTAGCATAAACAGACAGAAGTTGTGTGCTGAAACAGTTGTAAACATATTTTAGGAGAACTGAAGAGATCTMTGTGTTTACCATCTGAAGTCCATCAGCTGTGGTGGCCATCTTGGATAGGTTACAGGGTTTCCCCTAGGATTTTTTTTAACTGGTGGTGGTGGGCTGTCTTTTAAAAAAATTTTTAAGGTGGGGTATTGACACAGACATTTAATTATAAAACATGATTTTATAATTATGAATTATAAAATTCATATGACATGATATTAAAATGTGTATGGGCAAAAAGACACCATTTATAAATACGTATTAGTATTCAAATTAGGTACATGTTGTTGGCAGATGTACGTCTCTAGCTGAAGACTGTTTTAGTGATGTCACACTTCAAGGTGTTTTATAATTAAAACAAGGTCTTTCTTTCCTTTTTTTACTTATTTAAGCTTCTTTTCGGGTTTTGCTTTAGTTTTAAACTTCTTTATTTTTTTATTCTTTAAATATTTGTCTTTTTTGTGGTACAC